ATGACTAAAAACAGTCTCGTTTGAATTGAATTCACTTCAATTTAAAAAAATTTTAACATAGCTAATTTGTAAGCTGTGAATACATTACAGTTAAAAATTACGAAAATACGGATTTTTTATTTAAATAAAAAAAAAGTTATAACGGAAATATCGAGCTGAATATCGAGCCGCGAGCCAAGCCTGCGTCCACATTCAAAGATCCCACATTTACATTATCGAAATGAACATAGATTCATATCAAATCTTTGAACATGGACACAGACTCGGCTCGCGACTCCATGTTCAGTTCGATAATCTGGGTGCACCCTAAGCCCTGAATTTATATCCGAGTACAGTATTGAATAGAAATATTCCTATTTCGAAATGAATATAAAAATACTGTTCTATTTATAAAGAAATAATTATAAATGTTCATGAACAGACATTATGCTCTCAAATATTGATTCATTTCAATTTCTAGCTCCGGCCTGCAGCTTCCGGACTCTAAAGTGCGCACAATTTCTCTTAAGCTGTTTACCACCCTCTTAAGGTAATATTCGTAGTCCGTTCTTATTCCAAGACTGCCTTAAGTAATGTCTTAAGACGCTAATACGGCCCTTTGGCCGGTATTCATAGTCAGATATTATATTTAAGACCGTCTTAAGTTCAGCCTTGAGGTATCATGAACCAATCAGAGGGCCGTATTAGCGTCTTAAGACATTACTTAAGGCGTCGTCTACAATACACGGAGTAAGAAGTAAGAGTAAGAAATTGACCCATCACAGTCGAATGTGAGAAGAATAATCGACTGTGATTGGTCAATTTCTTACTCTTACTTCTTACTCCGTGTATTGTAGACGGGCCTTAAGACAGTCTTGAAATAAGAACCGACTATGAATACCGGCTTTTGATTGGTTCGTGACTTCTTAAAACTGAACTTAAGACAGTCTTGAATATAAGATCTGACTATGAATACTGGCCTTAGAGTACAAGTTCAAAAACATACCTAGACTTGGAAGGTATCGGCATAAATATAAACGGAGATCTCAACGGAGATCTGCGCTTTGCTGATAATATCGTGTTGTTCTCGGACAGCTTGGAAAGAGCAGACACATCACTTGGAAGGTTAACATATATTAGCCTCACATAAAATTAGGCTCAAAATAAATATAAAACATGATTTATGACAAATCTGGTCCCTAGCCGCAATATTATGATGGAAGGTAAAGAAATTACTCAAATCACATCTTAAAATATCTAAGCATGAGAGCAAAATCAGCAGAGATAGTTAGACTTGCGAGATCATATTAGATTGACATGGGTGGCTTTTGGAAAGCTGAGACATGTCTTCAAATCAGAAATCCCATACATGTCTCAAAGTAAAGTGTTTGACCAGTATGTCTTACCGGTCTTAACCTATGGTTCAGAAACGTTAATTCTGACAAAAATCTATAAAAAAATATAAAAAAATAGAAGTAGCTCAACAGGACATGGAACGCTCTATGCTGGGAACCATGTTAAAAGACAGAGTTTCAAATAAACAAATTTGTAAAAGAGTCACAAACGCAGTGAAAAGAATAACTGACCTCAAATGGAATTGGGTCGAACATATTATAAGGATGCCTAACGAAAGATGGACCGAAATTATGAAGTGCTTATCCAGGCAAGATACTTTCAGAAGCAGAGAACGTCTACTCCCTGCTGCAAATTCCCATGGGTTTTTTCATGGGTTCCTATAAATGACTATAACATTCTATAGGAGCTTGTGTAGTTACCTATAGGTATACGTAAGATTCCATAGGAATGTAATAGGTTAGTATAGGTATTCACAGGAATATGGACAGATGCCTCCATGAGAACTAAAAGGATGTATAGGATACCAGTTTGACATATAGTAACATGTAGGTGGACGTAAGACAGTGGGGAGGTACCCCATGGAGACTGAAAGTGCCTATAGGCTACCATAGAATGATGTATGCACATCTCTGTCCTATATGCACCTACATGTTCCTATACAGCAAGATGCAGTATCCTATAGTCTCTGTGAAGTTAGCATCTCAACTTCAAAAATCGGAAATTTTAATAACAGTACTGCTTGCACCCCGAATAGTTCTACAGTTCCTGATAGGTTTGATTAATAGTACCGTTGATTTAGGCCAAAAGATTTAAAAAAAAAATATGCGGTGCTAACTTCGCGTGGCACCGCAAGATTCGTAAAAGTCGATTTTTTTACGGAATCTTACAGTACTCGAAGAGT